CCTCCTCCTCCCCCTCCTCCGCCTCCGCCTCCATCTCATCCTACTCCTCCTCCTCCTCCTCCTCCTCCTCCTTCTCCTACTCCTCCTGTTTCCATCCCAGATGCGGACCATCCTGAACCACGAAAGCACGCCCAGGAAACAGACAGGCCTCGTTGAGGCAATACCTCTCGCCCTGATCCCCGTAGCATGCCCCGCGGAGATCCAAGCAAGGGACGCCAAGGGAGGCCACGGGAGACCTTGGGGGGGTTAGCATGGAGGAAGTGGGTCCTGCGGGAAACGTGCGCTGGACCCTGGGGCTTCCACCCAAGACGAGCTTCTCATCCTGAGCTGGTCTCTGACAAATCCCGGGCCCGTGGAGTGCCCCGGAGCCCGAAAACGGCGAAAGACCTCAGGACACGTTTCCCTCAGGACACGTTTCCCCCATGGCGAAGACCTTGGGAGGGGGGGTCGGGGATAGACTGACCCGGGTCAATCTAAAGCAGGGTCAATCGGGCATTGCAGGATCCTGCAACATCCTGCGGGATCCTGCACCCAAACCCGGGTCAATGCGACCCTGGCTCTGCAAGATCCTGCAAGATCTGGAGCTCTGACTGACCACCGTTTGCACTGACCGCGTCTTTTGAGCCCCGATTCGGCCTCTGAAGGCCCTTACAGGGCCTCGGGACCGTGAAGAAACGACTGAGGACGAAAAACTTGTCCCAGGGAATGGGTCCAGACCTCTGGGGATCGCGTCATGACAAAGGTCATGACGTCGGGGGTCTGGGAGGTGGGATGGCAAAAAAGGTACCGATGCCGCTGCGCTTAGGACCTGCGGAGACAGCAAGCGACCACAACCACAGAGAGGACACACTCTGGGGGGGGTGCCTTGCGCATGCCTACATCTGTCGAAACACCGAAACCAACTTCGTGCTGGCTGTGGTCGACGTGGCGCCCCAAGATGGCCACATCGACCACAACCACAACCCGGGTGAATTCATGTCGAGGTCGGTGGGCTCTCCGCCGAGGGGCCCTGCCGAAAAATCTGCTCGGCCGTGGTTGTGGATATTCGATGTGGCAGAAAAAAACCTCTCCCGCTAGAGGAGGAGGAGGAGGAGGAGGAGGAGGAGGAGGAGGAGGAGGAGGAGGAGGAGGGAAGGGGGAGGAGGAAGGAGAAAAAGAAGGAGAGGATGAGAGGAGGAGAGGAGGAGGAGGAGGAGGAGGAGGAGGAGGAAGGGCGAGGAGGAGGAGGAGGACGAGGAGGAGGAGAAGAGGAAGAGGAGAGGAGGAGAGGAGGAGGAGGAGGAGGAGGAGGAGGAGGAGGAGGAGGAAGAGGAGGGGAGCAGGAGGTGGAGGAGGAGGAGGAGGCGGAGGAAGGGGAGGAGGAGTGAGAGGAGCAGGAGGAGGGGGAGAAGGAGGAGGAGGAGGAGGAGGAGGAGGAGGAGGAGGAGGAGGGCCGTGGCGGCGAGGGAGGCGTGGCGGCATCGGCTCCTCTGCCCCGCTCTCTGTGATGGCCCTCGATCCCCGACCCTCGGATCGCCGCACTACAAGTCAGGGTGTCCGGCAAGGGTCCTGCGCCGACCTCCTCCCCGCCCCCCTCTGTACGGTCGGATCTACGACAGAAACAAATCAGCCAACAACATGAGATCCTCCGCCAGCCAAGATGCACAGAACAGCCGAGGGTACCCTCCCCAGGATGAACAAGAGCACCCAACAAAAACAAAGAATATTGGAGTACCCGCATTCGATCTTATACCTCGGTCTGACTGTCGGAACAAGGGAAGGCGACACGACCACATCCACCGCCCGCGCGAAGCGCCAAGGGGGATCCTCCCCTGTTGGTGTGGTCCGCCAAGTCTTAAGTCGGGCCTGTCCCCCTACAGAGGGATTTTCGACGAAAAAAAACATGCCCAAAAAAGTAATCAAACAGTAGTCCAAAAATAGTCTGGGGACTATTTTTTGAATATTTTGCTGACCTTTTTGGGGCATTTTGGGGATTTTTTATTTTTCGTCGAAGATCCCCCTGTAGGGGGACACGCCCGACATAAGCCAAGTCGAGCCCGCAGAAGCGCTCGGTCCCCAGGCACCCGCACGCGGCGCACGCGCTGCTCGCGCGCGCCTCGGGGACAACGCGAGGAAGGAGCTCCCTGCTCGAGACACCCTCCACCGAAGGATTGCAATCCTTCGAAGGATTGCAAAAAAACCTTCGAAGGAAGGATTGCAAAAAAACCCTTCGAAGGATTGCAATCAATCCTTCGAAGGATTGCAATCCTTCGCTTTTTTGCAAACCTTCGAGCTCGCGTCGCCAGACAAGCAAAGAAGTAACACAAGCACACTTTTTTGAAAGCTCGGCCCGGATCTCTCTGATCGGCGCTGCACCCCACTCCCCGGCGCGCGGAGCGCGCCAGCAGAAGGCTCCGGCGCCGATCCGAGACATCCGCGCGGACCTCCGCAAGTTTGCTCCCCAGTCAGTGCTTGCACTGATTGGGGTCCAGGCGGAGATTCCCCAAGCAGTGCTTGCACTGATAGGGTCCTGGCGGACATTGAAGGATTTGGCGAAACATTTTGACCGACTTCGGTAGGCGGCCAAGTTCCCGGGTTCCCCGTTCGGGGTTCCCAGGTTTCCGGGTTCCCAATTCCGGGTTCTGGGCCGATTTCGGTGGGCGGTGGGGTGCCCGGGGTTCCTGGTCGATCTTCTTATCGATCGGTCTCACCATCGACCGCATTTACCCACCTCTCCATCGATCTCACCATCAATTTCACTATCGATCTCACAAGCGATTTCACTATAGATCGCACGAACGAGCTCACGATCGATCGTGATGCATTGATTTCACTATCAATTTTACGATCGACCTTGCAATCGTCCTCACTATCGATTCCACGATCGATCTCACTATCGATCTCACAATCGATCTCAATATACAGATCACTGCAGTTCAAACTATCCACTGATTGGGGTGAGTCTCTGGTGTAATGCTCATGCTACTTTTGTTCCCCGAATCGTGGCCCCCCCTCACGTGGTGGTGGTCGCGTCGCGATGTAATATCAAAACAAGAACTTATTTCCCCACGAGGTGGGTGCATACAACACATCAGACAAATTTTGCCCGGGAGTCCGCGGGGGAGACATTGGGAGACGCTAAGGCGCCCGACCCCCTCGTACAGACGAACATATGATCAAGAGTCTCATCATTCAAGAGCTCTGGGCCAGCTTCCCAGAGAGTTCGAAAGGCAAGCCTGGGCTAAGTTGCTTTGTGCACGCTGGAAGGGGCGAACGTGTTCAAGTAACCAGGCCAGCTTTCCGGCAAGTTGGGAGGAGGTGAAGAAGGAGGAGGAGGAGGAGGAGGAGGAGAGGAGGAAGAGGGGTGGAGAGGAGGAGGAGGGAGGAGGAGGAGGGAGGAGGGAGGAGGAGAGGAGGAGGAGGAGGAGGAGTAGGAGGAGGAGGAGGGAGGAGGAGGAGGAGGAGGAGGAGAGAGGAGAGGAGGAGGAGAGGAGGAAGAGGAGGAGGGGGAGGGGGAGGAGGAGGAGGAGGAGGAGGAGGAGGAAGGAGGAGGGAGGAAGAGGAGGAGGAGGAGGAGGAGCGTGGGGCGCCGCCGCGGCCCTCACGGCAGGCTCAGGGCTCCCGCCTCTCCCGCGGCGAGCCAGAGGCCCTCTCGCTTGGCCGGGGGGGGGATGGCAGGAGAGCCGAGGAGCCCATCCTCCTCCTCGTTCTCCTCCTCGTGCTCCTTCTCCTCCTTCTCCTCCTCATCTTCCTCCTCCTCCTCCTCGTCCCCCTCCTCCCCATCTTCAACCTCCTCCTCCTCCTCCTCCTTCTCCACATCCTCATCCCTCATCCTCCCCACCGAGGAGGAGGAGGGCGATGTGGTGGGAGAAGAGGAGGAAGGACGAGGACGAGAGGAAGACCCCAAAAACATGTGAAACAGTACCAGTTTGACCGCGGAAGGCCAAACGCCTGGGCCATGCCGAACATGTGTCTTCGACAAACTTCGGGCCGCGGACGGGGAGGAGGAGCAGGAGGAGAAGGATAAGAGAGACGAGGGCAGGCGAGAAGATGAGGAAAACGACGCGAGGACCGAAGTGTGGGCCCGATTCGTTACTACGACGAAACCACGACGAAGAGAAAGTCGGACGAAGCTAAATCGGGAATCTCTGATATCCAGCGCTTCTGGAGGATGTCTCGGGCGCCGCGGTCTTCTCACAGCGCTCCTGAACGCTCGGAGCGCGTTCCAGAACGCCCTAGAACGGCTTTGCCCTCGTCCCGGCCCCGTCCGAATTCTGCTTGGGACCACGGGGCTGTCTCGTCGCCGGGGCAGGACTTTCCCGGAGAGAGGGTTGCCGAAGGGGCCGGACCTCCAACGTCTTGCACAAAGCAAGGCGTGTGCTTCTCGTTGGCTGTTTTCTGCGCCTCGAGGCCGCGTCTGGTCCCTGGAACCGTCACTTCTTGAGCCAATAATAGGTGGCCCATGGTGACAAGCCAATTCCAGGAAGAGCCCCCGAAGTCAGAGGGGCGCTCATTGAAGGAATCTCGCCATCGGAGGTCTGGGGAGGCAACATGGGGGAGGAGCAAGAGGAAGGGGAGGACCCATACATACCAGCTGTGGAATCGCACCATGGACTGCCGACAACATTACAGGCGCCCGCTCTCAACCCACAATGCTGCAGCCCAGCACACCGCGGATTTCGTGTTTCGGCCTTCTCTCATGTTTCGGTATCCTCCGTTTGAGCCTTGTGCGGCTCAAATGGTCGCACTCTCCCCATAATCACATCACGTGGAGTCTACTCTGTGCTCTTGATGACTAAGATTATTTGCTTCTACTCGTTCATACTGTGGCGGCGCGCCAGCCCCTTGTGGGCGCTGCCAAATACTGTGCGTGTTGCTGCACTTCTTACTTTTCTACCCAGGCCGCATCGCCTAGCCCGGGCTTCTTTTACTTTTCGTCTGTGGCAGACAATATATGTTTCCCGACGTAGCGTTTTCCTCTGAATGTTCGGAGCTCTGCGCGGATTTCTTGACATGGCACTGACCCCCTGGCGGCGCCTCTGGCGCCGCCGCGCCGCGCGCCAGGGCGGTGAGCCCAGCGCCAGTCCGAGGAACCTGCACGGAGTTCTGAAAGTTCTGTCCTCTTTAGCTTTCGTGCCTACACTCGTCTGTGTTTGGCGGCGCGCACAAGGGGGTGGGGGGAGGGGGGAGGGCTTCTTAGAAGCAGGCTGCTTCTTAGAACGCGCCGGCCTTACGTCTATAGATAAGGCCACGCGCCTTCTAAGAAGCAGGGGTGCTGCTTCAAGAAGCCCTCCCCCCTCCCCCCACCCCCCTCTGCGCGTGGCTGATCTGTTGCCCATCACCGCTAGCTTTGACAGGCGCCTGACCATCTTGCACTTTTTTTACCAGCGAACGGGAGCCCAGTGGCAGAGTGCGGGAGACGACACGACACGACGGCGAACAACGGACGGCAGACGAACGACCAAACGCGCCTGACCGTCTTGCACAACCTGGCGCCCGCGGAGCTAAAAAGTTCCTCGAGTAATGCTGGCCTCCCGCCCCGTGCAGCCTTGACCCTTCTCGGGGACCAGCTCTTCGTCCCGAGCTCAGCTGCCCCGGTATGCAACACGCAGCCCGCAGCGCAGCGACACGTTACTCAATAACTTCGCAGACTGAAAACGCAGGTCTGGCGCGACTCGTTCGCCAGACATCGAGGCAGACCGGGTCCCGAGCTGTTGCGCTGACGTTCCCGCGGCGCGGGGGCGGGCCCCCCGAGGCCGAGAGCTGCCACAGGCCCTCCGCCGTGGGGCCTGCACGAACGACGCGAGGAGGACTCTTGGGGGGGGCGCAGAGGGCAGGACAGCAGAGGGTAGGGAAGAGAAGCAGCGCTCGCCTGGCTGCTTCTCCTGGCGCCTCCCGGCGCCGGGAGGCGCCCACGCACGGAGGAATGGGCCCGGCGGCGGGGGCCGAAGCCAGCTGCTTGCAGCTGGTTTCGTACCCTCCCCCCCTTCCCCTCCTCCTATCCTCCTCCTCCTCCTCCTCCTCCTCCTCCTCATCCTCTTCCTCCTCCTCCTCCTCTCCTGCTCCTGCTCCTCCTCTCCTCCTCCTCCCTCCTCTTCCTCCTCCTCCTCCTCCTCCTCCGCCTCCTCCTCTTCTCCTCCTACTCCTCCTCCTCCTCCTTTCCACCTCCTCCTCCTCCTCCTCCTCCCTCTCCTCTCCTCCTCCTCTCCTCCCCTCCTCCTCACCCTCTCCTCCGCCTCTCCTCCTCTCTCCTCTCTCTCCTCCTCCTCCTCCTCCTCCTCCTCCTCCTCCTCCTCCTCTCCCCCTCCTCCTCCTCCCTCCTCCTCCTCTCCTCCTCCTCCCTCCTCCTCCTCCCTCCTCCTCCACCCTCCTCCTCCTCCTCCTCCTCCTCCTCCTCTTCCTCCTTCCTCTCCTCCTCCTCCTCCCCCTCCTCCTGTCCTGCCGTCCGGCCCCGAGGGAAGGCGGGAGGCGGCGCCTGTGGCTCGCGCGGGACGGGCTCGAAGGAGAGGAGATCCGCCGGGCCGTCCAAGGCGATGAGGTCTGGAGGCTCCAGCGGCGGCATCTCGGGCGGGTGGTGATGCGGGGTGGCCCACATGGGGAGGTTGAAGAGAAGGGTCCTAAAGTGTGCCCATTGGGAACCCTGTGGGGCCCCTGATGGCTCCCAAAGGGGTCCTGCAAGGCTCCGTCAGGCCATCTTCTCTTTACCTCCCATGTAGGTAGCCTCCCATTACCGCCCGCCCGAGCATCGGCGACCCCGTGTCCGCAGGGCTCCCGAAGCTGTGGCTGCGGTCCGAGGACGCGTCCTGAGGGGGCCACGAGCGACGACCAGATCCATACCCACCAGTCGGAAGACGCAGGCAGAAACATGAAGCAGGAAGGCGGATACCGCAGATCCCAGACCCCCTCGAGTCATGACAAAAATCACGACGGGAGGTTTTTCATTATTTTTGGACTCTGGGGGCCCTCACCGGCCCTCGGGACCGTCAAAAAACGACTCAGGACGAAAAACCGGTCCCGGGAAAGGGGTCCGGACCTCTGGGGGCCGCGTCATGCAAAAGTCATGACGTCGGTGGTCTGGGATTGGGTTCGGGTGCGACCACATAATAACAGCACACCACCGGCAAAGTTCGGTTCTTGCTGTAGGAAGGCGCTTGAAGTGGATGGGGATCTGGGGGTCCAAGAATACCTGCTTCCAACCAGGGCGCCTAATGTCGCGCTTCGCGCGGCGCGACGCGCGAACATCGCTATCTCGCGCCGCCCTCCCAGGGGCGACGAGGAGGAGGAGGAGGAGGAGGAGGAGGAGGAGGAGGAGGAGGAGGAGGAGGAGAGAGGAGGAGGAGGAGGAGGGGAGGAGGAGGAGGAGGAGTCGCAGCCGCACCGCGAAGCGCGAAGAACTTCGCGCCCTCGGGGGTGCCCTTCTTCCAGCGAGCGACGCGCGTCCGTCCCCGCGCCCTCGCGGCCTCGACCGCGAGGCCGTCGTGAACGCGGCTCCCGCCCGCGAGGGGGAGGAGGAGGACGGCCTGTGCAGAGCCGTCCTGGCTGAGGTCGGGCGCGGGGCAGGAGGGCATCCTTTAAGGAGCACGAGGCCGAAGGGGCCCCAGAAACACACACACACACATATACACACAAATCAACAGATTCCCCACATTTTCCTATATCTTCTGGGTTTTCGTCTTCCCCACCACTTCCCATATTTTCCGTTATCTTCCTGGGAGTCGACGATTCATTGCGTCTGTGTGTTTTGTCCCCTCCCGAGAGGCCCTCCGTCGGCCCAGGCCGGAGGAGACTCGAGGGGAGGCCGTCCCCGAGGCGGCAGGGCCAGGGCAGACCATCGCGCCGCCGGGGGGCATGGGCAGAGGGCGGGAGCTCAGTGGGCCCTGGAAACGGCAGGGCCTTTTTTTTACCGGTTCCGTTCCGCCTTTTTGTTGCCGGTTCCGACGCCGTTTTTCTTATCGGTGCCGTCGCCGTTGTTTGACCGGTTCCGGCTCCAGTTCCGATGCTGGAGCCGTTTTTGTTGCCGTTCCTGGTCGCCGTTTTTTTTGCCGTTTCCATTTTCGATAGACATTTTTTTGGAAACGGTGAGAAACGGCCCTGCCGTTTCCGGGGCCCACAAAGGACGGGAGAGAGGGGCCCAGACATCTGGCAACGCGACCCGTTCGACACCTGGCGAGGTCTGGAATCTCTGAATCGAACAATGTTGTTCTGGCCATCGCTCGGACGTCCATTCCCTGTGTTTTTTTTCGGTTTCGTGCGTGGTTTTTTCGCCAAATTATCAAGGATGCTCCTCGATGGTCCTCGCCGAAAGAAAAATGCACACGTCCGAGCGATGCCAGGACAATATTGTTGTCCCCTGGACTTGGACGTTGAAAGGGGGTACGGAGAAAAAAGGGTACGATGTCCAACAGCGCAGGTTGCCCGACACTGGCAGCAGCCGCTGTTGGGCGGGCTGCCTTCTGTCTCACATGAGCAAGGCCCGCGGCGACACTGACAGCAAATCCGGTTCAAGATGCACAAGAACTGCTGTCGGTCTTCGTCCCAAGTCTTGCCGCACCAATTTTGATCGTCCCGATTGGAGGGCCGATTCTTCCTTCCGCCTGTCTCCGCCTGCGCGGCGGAACGGCCCTCGCTTTCCCTCCGCCCCCCCCTACCGCTGGCTTCTGCCGCCGACGAAGAGACAGGGCAACCTCCAACACCCCGCTGCACACACACACACACACATGCATGCACACATACACACACGCACAGAAACTCTCGAAGGTACGCGCGGATCTCTTGGATCGGCGCTGGCCCCCCCCACTCGGGGGCGTCCAAGAGGGAGGCGTCCAAGAGGGGGAGGCGCAACTCATGGCTGGGGGCATGTGCGCGGCCCAGGGGTGGGTGGGTGGGACGTCTGGCAATAAGACGAGGCGCCATGAGATCTGGGGAGATATCATGGCCCCCGCCATGATGTCCTCCCCCCCCTAGTCAGCACCCCCCCTTGGCCGCCCCCGACCCCTGTCTTTGACCCTGGCACTACCCACACCACCGACCCATACAGGCACCCTGACCTCTCGACCCGCTTGCCAGGAGCTGCTCCCTTCGCTCCGAGCCGCTCTCTGGCGGCCCAGGGGCTCCAGGCCGGGTTCTCCCCTGAGATGAAGCCGGGATCCCTTCGGGCAAGGATGCATCGGGCATCTCTGAGATCCCGCGGCTCTGGAAGACTCCTCCTCCTCCTCCTCCTCCTCCTCCTCCTCCTCCTCCTCCTCCTCCTCCTCCTCCTCCTCCTCTTCCTCCCTGGAGCACAGAACGCACCAGGGGCGGCTGGAGGCGCAGCCAGAGAGGGCCCAACACGCCACTCCAAGAAGGCCGTGCGGGCCTCCGGGGGATCATGCGCCTGCCGTTTCTCTCTGTCTTTCGATCGCATGTGGAGCAGGGATCCGTGGGTCCGGCGCGAGACCCACTCGAGGTTGCAGAAATCTCAACCTCGGAAAAGAATCACAACCAAGACCCCATCTCCGCCGCGCGCCACTTTTCGAGTCGGATCGGTCTGCGAGGGTGCCCGGGCCCGAAACTGGGCGAAAGCGCCCGTTGCGAAAAGCAAGGAATAAGAAGTGCAACGCCACGATCTCGAGGCACCCCTCGAAGCATTCAGCCACTTCGAGGGGTGCCTGCCTTGCCCTGCCCCCTGCCCTCGAGGCACCCCTCCCCCTGCCCTCGAGGCACCCCTCGAGGGCGGGGGGAGGGGCAGGCACCCCTCGAAGCAGGAGAGCCACTTCCGCCCTTGCTTTGGCCCAGGAGATCGCCGCTTCTGAACGGGCGCGGGGCCTGGCGCCGATCGCGCTCAGACGTCTTCACCGCCTTCGGACCACCAGATCGAGGAGGATCGAGGAGGACAGAGGATCAAGGAGCATCGAGGAGGACCGAAGATCGAGGAGCATCGAGGATCGACGATGATCGAGGATCCACGCTGCCCTGCTGCACCGCCTCGAGGCGAGGGGGCCGGGGCCGTCCTGCGTGGACAGCTCCCCCTGTTCCTGGGCGTCCCACGGGCCCTTGCACTCGCAGGCCTGTGCCGCAGCGCACCGCGACGTCGGATCGGATCGGCAATGGATCGGATCGCCAGCGAATCGTCCCGAATCGAGTCGAAATCGGATCGCCTCGCCTGGCTACCGGCTGACCCCAGCCGCTGCTGGCGAATCGAGCCTTAGCAGGGGAGAACTGGGTCCTGTGGGAAACGGATCCTGGGGCCTTCCCCCAGGATAAATTCTCCACCCTGCACCGTCTTCTGACAGTTCCGGGGCCCGTGGAGGGCCCCGGGGAGCCAACAAAACAGCGAAAGACCTCAGGACCCGTTCCCCATCAAGACCCGCTTTTCCCCTTGCGGCCGGCTACTGGCTGGCCCCGGCCGATGCCGGTGAGCCGAGCCGAACCGAGTCGAATCGAAACCGCGGCCCCGGCTGGCGACTCGACTCGCGGCGAATCGGATCGTGGGCGCCCCTTCCGCCTCGCCCTCGTCGTCGCTGGCGCCAAGCAGGGCGTCGAAGACCTCCACGTCCTCGCCCGCCGCCTGCGGCGTCGCGGGGGCACACCGCAGGCTCAACCGCAGCGCGTCCAGCCTCTCCTGGGGCGGGGAGACGCGCGGCTGGGATCGGCGGCGAGCGAGGGGGGGGGGGAAGTGACAGCAGGCGGCGGGGCTGCTCAGAAGCCCTCGTGCCTCCTGCGAGCTTCGCAGACGTCTTCGGGGACGGCTCAGAGAGCTCCTCGGAAAGCCTGGTGGCTTCCGAGCCCTCTCAGAATCGGGAGCGGCCAAGAGGGGGGTGTCCAAGAGGGGCGGGTGCAAATCATGACCGGCGGCATGTGCGCGGCCCAGTGGGGGGGCCGGGGACGCAATGAAACAAGACGAGGCGCCATGAGATCTGGGGAGGTATCATGGCCCCCGCCATGACATCCACCCCCCCTATATCGGCTGCGCGCAAGGATGACCCTGGGTAAGAGTGGCCTTTGGTGCGCGGCTTCTTGGGGGCCGCGGGGAGACCAAACCTGGGCGCGCAAGCCGCTGCTCCTGCTTCGTTTTCAGCCACCTGGGGGCCCATCTGTGCCCGCCGGCGAAAGGTCACTCTTACGTCTAGTCGACGGGCCCCCAGGACCATCGCAAATGGATCGGGCTCAAAAATCGGGTATTGGCAGGACTGGGTTTAATTGGACTTGCCTTGATGATGCGTGCTGAGCACGCCTCCCCCCCCATTCCACTAACCCGATCTGCCATCACCCGTAAAAAAACAAACTACAACAAACCTGGTTTCATGATTCCCACATTTGTTTTGGCTTAGCTACGGGGCCCTTTCACAAACCGGCTCCCCTCAACAGGGCCCTGGCTTTACCCGAGAAGAACGCACAAGACAAATGTGGTCTCGGCCTCTGGTCGTGATTTGTCGCGACGTTGATCATTTTCGCAAAATCGAAAATCAGGTAAGTCGTAAGAGGGAAACTCATGGCCATGGCTGCGCGCCAGGCTGCGTCTGCGAGGCGGGGCCGTATCCCCAACCCTCCCCCTGGGGGATGCGATCTTTGGGGGCCTCGGCAGGCGGTGGATACGGAGATGTTTGTCCCCCTCTTGGCCCGTCGAATCTATCCATACGGTGAGACATGCCGATGAAGAAACAGGCCTGCCAGGTGGTGCCCCACAACTGTGTCCTATCCCCCGACAAACCCTGGGGACCCACGATCATCCTCCTGCTCACCCACTCATCCTCCTCTCGATATTTCTCCTCCCGCTCATCCTCCTGCTCACCCGCCACCCTTTCCTCCTGTGCACGCGGATCTCCTTTTTTCCGATTGCGCATGAAAACAAGTGGTCCTTCTGTGGGAGTCACAGGTCGGCTATGACACGCGTCCGCGGATAGAGACAGCTCCATGGGAAGGGATGTGAGGGAGGGATTAGATGTTAGATGAGGCGCGAGCGCACCTGGCTTGTCCTACCTCGTTTCCTGCATCCCGCCCCACCTGCCCCCTTTCCTCTTTGTCCTCCTCCACCTCCTCCACGCCCCGCATGCCTCCTGCTTCCCCCTCCTCCTCCACCCCACTCCCCTATGTTTACCACCTCTTCACCTCCACCCCCCCCACCTCCCACCCTCCCTCCTGCTCCTCCTCTTCTTCTTCCTCCTCCTCCTCCTCCTCCTCCTCCTCCTCGTCCTTCACCTCCTCGTCGTCCTCCTCCGGCGGCCAGGAATGGCACCTGGACACGTGGACCTGGAATCAGCGAGATGATCGACGACGGCAGGCCCCCGACAGCGAAGTACTGGGCAGGGGACGATCCTTGAACCCCGATCGTAGGGGGGCATTTGCGAACCCTACCCCTACCCCCCACGATTTCTGAGGGGGAGGGTGGGGTTCACTTAATCCAAGAGCTCCCGAGCGAAGTGAACCCCACCCTCCCCCTCAGAAATCGTGGGGGGTAGGGGTAGGGTTCGCAAGCGGCCCCCTAGATCGGCGATGAACGGGCGACTTGGGGACGAAAAGTCGATGCTCCCGGCCCCCCCGACCGACGCCGCGGTTTTCCCAGACCGCGAGACGCCAGCAGCTCGGGCCCCTTCCCCGGAGCTGACTTGGCGTCTCCCGAGTCGGCCTCGGGAGGGCGGCCCCGCGGCCCCGCCAGCGCCCCCGAGCGCCGAAGACTGGGAAACCTTGCTGGGGGGGGGGGGAAAGCGGTACCGACACCGCCGCTGCCCGGACCGCCGCACGTTACCAGCCTCGAACGTATCCCTGTCCCTAAGATTGACACGCCAAAAGGCGATGACAATCTTAGGGATTCGCCCTCAAAAAATAAGGGAATCCCCAAGATTGGCATCGTGATGAGGAGGTGCCCAGCATAGGGATAGGGATATGTTCCAGGCTGGTAAGCACGCGTGCGTTCTGACAAGGACTCGAAGGCGAGTCCAGCCGCGACGACGAAGGAAGGCTACGAGTGTGTGGGTGGATGCTCCTCCTCCGGCTTCCGCTCCGACGTCGCAGAATTTTGACGTGGCATGGGCTCAGGAGGAACTTACGCCCTTCTCGGCGGCGCGCACTGGGGGGTCAGGGGACGGGGAAGGCTTCTTCGAAGCAGGCTGCTTCTTAGAAAGCGCCGGCCTCACATCCATAGATGAGGCCCGCGCCTTCTACGAAGCAGGGGTGCTTCTAAGAAGTCTAAGACGCCTTCCACCCCTCCCCCTTACAATAACCCCTCCTGCGCGTGCCAGGTCAAGGGGGGAGCGATACCCATCAGTCGGAAGCAGTGGGTCGACAGGGAGGCGTTGAAGTAGATTTCGTTCCCGCCCAGACCCTGAAGACGAATGAGTCTGGAAAACCATGTGATCCTTGAAATTGGAAGGCGCTAAAGGCAGATTGGACTGTGGGGATCCACATGGGGAACATTGGCACGGGATCGTCGATAGATAGATCCGCAATAGGCCCTCGATGGCAAAAAACTGCACGCTGCTGGGCCAGGATGGGTCGCCCAAGCCCCGATTAGTGATGAATGGACGATTGGGCGTCGCTGCTTGCCCCCCCCTAGACAAATCCCCCCTGTCGTTGCACCCGACCTTCCGCTCCATGGCTTCCGTGCCGTCATGGTATCGCCGTGGGGTTTGCTAAGGGGATCGGGGCACTGGGCGCGGATGCTGAGATGGGTTATGCCTTGGCTAAGCTAACTTATAACTGGGTTGGAAATGCCATACGTGACTGAGGGGTGGATAAATCAGCTAACCGGGCTGGCCCCACTTAGCCAACAGCTTTACCCCCTGAAACCACGCAGGGCACTTCTAACCTGATTCTAAACTGGCTTAGCCAAGGTATAACCAACCTTGGCATCTGCTCAGATACCCCCCTACTCACTCAGCAACAGCCGCGGTTATTCCAGGAGGGCCTCCATTGGCCGTTCGGTATAATTTCGGCACCCCTGGTATGCCGTCCACGAGACGCAGCTGATGGAAACCGCCCTGGGTCCCGAAAGCGTTCGGAAAACTTGTTCGAAAAGCTCTGCAGACTTCGGCGGGAACCTCGACGCGATCGAAGCTCCACACACATCCGACGTCTTGACTTTTTCACTGCGCGGCGCCCGAAGTCCCGACCCTTTCCCTGGGGCCAGGTTTTGCTCGCGATCTGTTTTTTCACAGGCCCACGGGCCCAGCGAGGGCCGCCAGAGGTGGACTATTTAGAGCATGTCTTCTATGATCACTGCGGCGGCCGCTATCGCGAGATTGGGGGGTTTGCAAGTGGATGTCAGGGTGGGTTGGATCTGGCGTACTCTAGCGCCCCAAGTGACTTGGGTGGGTACGACAACTCATCTAAGTGGGCGAAGTCCACCTCGTGCAGATCTCAAGCCACTGCGGGCACCTCCAACCCCCTTTAGAAACTATGCCAGGCAGGATATAACCCACCGTGGCATCCGCTGGTAACCACCTATGCACCTAGCACCTCCCGCGTTGATACGAGTCGGTCCTCGACGCAGAACTCCGCGGCCGCGTCGGCGGCCATCTCCGCCCACCCGCCGAGCAGCCGGCTGGCGGAGCGGCCCAAGTCTCCCAGCTCCGCCAAGGCGCCCGCGCCTGGCGCCGTGTCCTGGAAACTCACCGCCCGGGTGGCGAAGATCATCGCCGGACCGGCTGCCTCGTCTGCAGACTCCCCTACTGGGATGGCCCAGGGGGCTGCTAAGTAGATAAGGGGGTTCTGCGCGGATGCCCGGGTGAGTAATACCTGGGCTAACCTGGGTCATAAGTGGAGTGGATATGCCCTGCATGGCTTGGGAAGGTTGGATACAGTAGGGACCCGACCACGAGAAACCGTCCACAAGAAACCCAACCCAGAACGTGTGGGCACATCACGCTCTCCATAACAAAACCATCGAAGCCCAAGAAATCCAGGGCACCCTGGAGGCAAGCAGGGTGTTTCTTGGCATGGGTCCCCGTTGGATATGCCCTGCATGGCTTGGGAAGGTTGGATCATTTCGCTCAGTGGGCGGAGCCCACTCGGCCCTGATCTTTACACCCACAAGCCATTTGTGACACTTGCAGCCCTCTTACAATAGCGGCCTCCTGGATGAGGTCGGGCCAGATGGGGTCGGAGGATCGCGTCGCATCGCCGATACATCGGCGATGCATCGGTGATGCATCGCCGATGCATCGTCGACGTTGACGATGCATCGGCGACGTCGACGTGAAGCAAATCAGGCTTCACATCGAGCAAATTGGGCGATGCATCGGCGATGCGGCGCGATCCTCTGGCCCCATCTGCTCCGACCCCACCTGTGAGGCCTAGATACAAGCTAGGTAAGGCCAACTATAACTCGCCTGAGTATCCGCGTCTAACACCCCTAATCCAACTAGCACCCCCCATGGTGATTCAATTAGCGTCGTGCCAAGACCCCTGTGCGTCGTGAACAAAAGCACGACGGACGGTGTGTGTGTGTGTGTGTGTGTGTGTCGACCCGTCTTCGGATTCCCGGGGCCCCTCACCGGGCCTCGGGGCCTTCAAAGAACGACCCAATATTGAGAGGCGGTCCTGGGGAGATCTCTTGAAGGGGAACTGGGACACACAAATAAATACACACAAATAAACATATCTCCCATATTCTTGGGGAATTGAGGATTAATTGTGTCTGTGTGTTTTTTCCCCTCCTGACCTCTGAGGGTCGACGGTGTGAACAAAGCACGACATCGGGGGTCTGGGTGGAGAGCTCTCGGCGGGAGGGCGGGACAGCGCTGACAGCCCAGGTCAGCCGGGGACAGCGGCGCGAAAACGCAAATACCCGCCACGAGACATAGAGGAAAAAGAACTATGCACATGCACCGATTCTGGCCAGGCCCATCCTGAGCCCAGGATCGGTGTCATGGGTCAAAGATGGGCCTTGCCAGGATCTGCGCATGTGCATAAGTCTCTTCGCCCGAGAGACATACCTCCCATGTCCAGGCCCGCGGGAGCCTAACAAGGGGATGTCGGCTCCACGTCACTCCCAAACACAAGTCAACCAGAGGGGATCTGATGGCTGATGGGGAAGAAAAGCAAGATCAGTAAACACAAGTCAGCCAGAAGGGATGTGGTGGGGGAACAAAAGCAGTATCAGTGATGCGCCGCCATGGGATACCAATCAGCGTGCTACTGCCGAAGAAATACCCGGCCTTCGGACACAAACGGAGGAGCCACACGCTGAAGGGCCCCCAACAGCGGGGTGTCATGGATACTCTTCTCTGCGGGGGCAGCAAGCGACCACAACCACATCGAGGGTACACCGTGGGGATGTCTTGCGCATCCCACAATGGTCGGAACACCAAAACCAGCTTCGTACTGGTCGTGGTCGAGGTGGCGCCCCAGGACGGCCAACTCGACCACAACCACAACCAGAGTGCTCATGTCGAGGTCGGCGGATCCTTCTGCGAGGAAAGACGAAACGAGGACGAGGATCAAGTCCAGAGGATAAATCGAGAATCTCTGAGACCCGGCGGCTCTGGGGGACGTCTCGGGCGCCGCGGCCTGCTCACAGCCTTCCAAACGCTCTGAGAGCGTTCTGGAACGCCCTGGAACGGATTATCCCCGTCCTAGCCCCAGCTGGCGACGGGCCCTCCAACAAAAATCAAATTAAATGCGGTCGTGGTTCTTTGCTGTGCCCGGAAATCTGGCGGCGCTCACAGGGTGGTAGGCGGTAGGCAAGGCTTCTTCTTAGAAGGCGCCGGCCCTACATCTCTAGTCAAGGCCCGCGCCTGCCAAGAAGCAGGGGTGCTTCTAAGAAGCCTCTCCCTCCCTCTACCACCCTCTGCGCGCGGCTGAGACAAACTCCTCCCCCGCACTGGCTGACCCCTGCTAGCGCGAACCCCCGCTGCCTGCGCCTCCGGGGGAGGGCTCTGGCCACTTCCGGGGTCAGGCGGAGCTGTTCACGGGGCCCCCGTTGGCTGGCAGGAGCTGGCTCTGGTTGAATATCCGCCGATTTGGTTCCTTTATTGCAGCGAACAATCGGATCAACAAAAACTATCTTTGAAGAAATCTGCGCAGGCTCCCTGGAAGCTTCTTGAACCAATCCTGGGCCAATTTCTGTTGTCAACGCCAAAGGGGCGAACGTGGCTCGAGAAACCGGGCCAGCTTTCCGGCAAGCTGGTTGAGAAACGCTGGCCCAGCCTTTCGGGAGGAGGTCTCTGAACCAGATGGTCGCCTGTATGTCGCATCTGGGGGGGACCTCCTCTGCCCTCCCTCGAGCTCCGCCACCCGCACCATCTCCGAGGCCGTCCGAGGCTGTCTGAGGATATTCCGAAGCTCTCCGAGGCCATCCCGAGGTCATCGGAACCCATTCCGAGGCTGCCCGAGTAGGAGGCCACGTGCGAACCCTACCCCGCCAGCCCACGAGTTCGAAGCGGGAATGTGGGACGAAGTTCGCACGTGGCCCCTGGCCGCTGACCGAGGCCGTCCCGAGGGTACCCGAGGCCATTCCGATGCCCTCCGAGGCCGCCTGGACACCAAAGAGTGCAGCTAGTGTCGGGACCGCTGGCCTGGCCATCGCTCGGACGTCCATTCCCTGTGTTCTTTTCGGTTTCGTGCGTGGTTTTTCCCCCAAATGATCAAGGATATTCCTAGATGGTCCTCGCCAAAGGAAAAGTGCACACGTCCGAGCGATGCCATGTGGCGTCTCTCGCAGAGGCGAGCGGACCTCCGAGGTCCGACGTCGGGGCAAAAGCGCCCCGATCGAACAACTCATCTCGTCGGGTCTCTGGGGATGGAGGCCTTGGAGAAACCAAAAGGTACCAATACCAGTGCCTTCTGACCAGAGTTTCGAGGCGACTCCAGCGGTGGTGACGAGGGCCTCCAGGCAAAGAACAACGAAAACGAGGAAAGGGTAGCGGTATCGGTCCGGGAGCGTCCAAGAGTGGAGCGTCCGAGAGGTGGGGCCAGGAGCGTGTTGAAATCAGAAGAGGCGCCATGAGATCTGGGAAGATATCATGGCCCCCGCTAAGATATGCACCCCCTCTTAGTCATCACCCCCCCTCTTTACCGCGCCCCCGATCGATACCTTGTCCTCCTCCTCCTCCTCCGAGGGCTGGCCCTGGGGGAACAAAGGTCTTCTAGCCGGGGTCCGAGTAGATGGGGTCGGAGGATCGCGCCGCATCGCCGATACATCGGCGATGCATCGAAGACACCAGCGATGCATCGTTGACGTCGGCGATGCATCGACGACGCCGACGCGAAGCAAGTCGGGCCCCGCATCGGCGATGCATCGGCGATGCGGCGAGATCCTCCGACCCCAGCTGCTCCGACCCCGGCTGGGAGGCCGGGAGGGAAGAGGCCCTCGCCATCGCTCGGACGTCCATTCCCTGTGTTTTTTTTCGGTTTCGTGCGTGGCTTCTTCGCCAAATGATCAAGGATGCTCCTCGATGGTTCTCGCCGAAAAAAATGCACACGTCCGAGCGATGCCAGGGGCCGAGGCCTCCAGGCCGTGCACGCCGTGTGAGGAGGGCACGACGCCGGGGGGCTTTGGCTCGCCGCGCGCGGGGCGGACAGCGGCCCGGAGGGCGGGTCGCCACGCCTGAGCCGGAGAGGATGCGACTGCGCCGCGCGGGCTCTCGCCTGCGCCGTGCCTCCCTCCAGGGCGTGGCCCGTGGCCTTTATAAGACGGGGCCAGGGCGAGGAGAAGAGGAGGGCGGGGGATCGTGGAGCCCCTCGCCTCTCGAAGAGCGTGTGTCGTATAGCTGTTCGCGAAGTTTTCGAACATTACCCCTGTTCTTCCTTCTCCTCCTCCTCCCCCTCCTCCTCCTCCTCCTCCTCTTCCTCCTCTTCCTCTTTCTTCCCCTTCTCCTACTCCTCTTTTTCCTCCTTCTCGCTTCTCCTCCTCCTCCTCCTCCTCCTCCTCCTCCTCCTCCTCCTCCTCCTCCTCCTCCTCCTCCTCCTTCCCCCAGAATCTAAATGTTTGCTTCTCCTGCACCCCCCCCCCCACACAAAAATTAGCCTGGCGAAGGACCCAACCATATGCAGTTGTGAATGCCGCAGTTGTGCTGGGTGGTGGCGGACGCATGCGGGCGGTGCCACTGGGACCTTCGGTGGAGCTCCCTATGGGGCCACGAAGCGCTGTACTGGGTGGGTGAAACGCGGTCAGTAAGGGCTGTGCTGCGTGGTGGCGGACGCATGCGAGCGGTGCCACTGGGACCTTCGGTGGAGCTCCTTGTGCGGCCACGAAACGCTGTACTGGGTGGGTGAAACGTAGGCAGGGAGCAAGGGCTGCGCAGGGTGGTGGCGGACGCATGCGGGCGGTGCCGCTGGGACCTTTGGTGGAGCTCCCTATAGGGCTACGAAGCGCTGTTCTGGGTGGGTGAAGCGCAGGGAACAAGGGCTGTGCTGGGTGGTGGCGGACGCAAGCGGGCAGTGCCACTGGGACCTTTGGTGGAGCCCCTATGGGGCCACGAAACGTGCGAGGGGTGTGCCAGAATGGGGTGTGGAACCGCATGCCAGCGCAGCCACTGGGGCCTTCGGTGGAGCTCCCTATGAGCCACGAAACGTGTGAGGGTGTGCCGAATTTGGGGGTGGAACCGCATGCGAGCGCAGCCACTGCGGCGTTCGGTGGAGCTCCCTATGGGGCCACGAGCGTGTGAAGGGCGTGCCGAAAAAAGGGGTGGAACCGCATGCGAGCGCAG